CAGTAAATATTGAATGCCACCATGATATAGCTCATTGGGAAATAGTTGGCATTTAAATACTAAGTATTTGATCAAACAAGAGGTTAGCATTTCGTCACTATTCCCAAGTAAGTATAGAGTCCCATGTTTTAGCTAATTTAGATAATGTGAATGTAGGAACTGAACTGTCACCATGATAAATGATACAATGACCCCTACAGCGTCATAAAATCTTATCTAATTAGGGTATAAACATTGGTTATGACCCATTATCAAACTATTTGTCTTCAAAACCAACAAATGTCTAATAAAATTCCTCATCATAAATGATCGAATGATTTAATTTGTGAGATCTAAAAGTGTTCTGTTCTTGCCATAAGGGGAACAAGTATGACATAAATTAAGGCCAAATTTTTGTGGGAGAAAAAAGATAAAAAATAATAATATTGTTTCAGATATTTTGTGTGTTCTCTAATGAGTTATCTAAATGTGTTGTCAGGATTGCAGTGTTTGTTAAGCTGGTCTTGTAGTTTAACGTTTCACACGTCGATTTTGTTAGTTTAAATCATCATCATAAATAAACAGAACTTTCTAGTTTTTTTGCGTCTGTTTGCTTTTAAATTTTTTTAAGGTCTGATGATCTGTAAACTGATTAGTAAAAACTATGTTGCCTTATTGGGTCAATGGGTTAGGTTGCCTTATTGGGTCAACAGCTTTAGCGTGTTCAATTCCAAATTTGCAATAGGACTGGAATGCAAAATTATTTAGCTTACCTTACTTTTCTTGCTGGCGATAAATAGCCTGTTTTTATTTTGTAATATCAAATTGCAACTACAAGTTTTTAATGCTCTAATACTTGATTTAAAAACAAAACTATGATATACTACTTGTTATATAGGTACTGTCCATCATTGACAGATTTTAAGATGCTATTATATTATATTAATGTATAATTTATTCAAGTCACGATATGGTCGAAACACTGCCGATGTGACTCACTCTCTAAATGTATTTCTCAGTGATCACAGGATAGATATGCTGCATATGATACATATGATAGATAATATACATATTTTTAAGGCACAGTACATCATATAAGAATTAAAAGCTTTAATATAGCATTAGAACCCAAAGCAGGTCAAGTTACCTTGGCAAAACCTTTAAAGAATGGGAAAGAGATAATCTGTTTGACACTGGAAATGTTGCTTAAACACAGAAAAACCACCCCTTGAAGGAATGCATGTAAACCTCATGTGTAGACTCATATCATGGCCTGATTGTTCCTTCACTGTAGTCTCCTTACAATGTTGTTTTCTTAGAGTCGCGTGTTGTGACTACACAGAGATTCATTATCAGCTGGAGTAGAAAATATATTCCGACAACTTCTTTTGCACTAAGTGACATTACACGCCTTGTTCAGATTTATTGCAAAGTAAAATCCTGACTTGTTTGAATAATTTGCATATTTGGAGATTGCATGATGATAGTAAACAAAAGGACCTCCACGTATGTCTTCTTGTATTACGGAGTTGGACATGTTTGTGTTGTCACGGATCACATCAGCTGATAAGAACGACTGCCAACACCTTAGTCATTCTTCACACATACACAAGTTTTTCATTTGTGTTCTTAATGTTTTTTGGCTAAATATACTTGAAAAAGAATTTCATCTTTTCATTTTTTGTTTTGATTTTATTGATATATGTTGTCAGGAAATTAGTCTTGAATCGGTTTGATTACTTAAGTAGAAATTTGGGATTGATAAACATCATCTATTATACTGTAGAGTTGTGATGTTAAGAAGCATGAGCATAAATTTCAAAGAGTCAGGACTTTCAGTAAATATAGTCATTCCAATTTGAAGTCCTGAATATAATTCCCAAGATGGGCTTTCCATCTTGGCCCCCCTCCCTTTTCCCTCTGAGGGGATTCTTGTCCCCAGTATCCCATGCTTGCCACAGGAGCCAACTTTAGAGGATCTGTGACTTGACTGATTGCGTGACCTCATACCCTGTATCATTGTTCATGCTCACTGTTCCCCTGGCTGGGATCCCAGTTTGCCCCTATTATGTTTCGAGGTTTGTCAGCACCATACTCGTCCTCATAGGTTCACCTAACTGGTTGATGTCTGAGACTTGCATCACTTCAGGCTTTCCTCCAACGATAAGCTGACATGCCATGATATGACTGGAAAACTGTTCAAAGGATTGTTTATTTACAGTGATGTAGCTTGGGTGTTGCTGACTGTGACACTCACTACCTCACTCCTTCACTCACTCACTTGGTTTTTATTATTGCAGACTGTTGCATTGAACAACACTCACTCACTCACTCACTCACTCACTCACTCACTCACTCACTCACTCACTCACTCACTTATTCACTCACTTATTCACAGCTTCCCTGCCATGATATTTCTGGCACTTTTCTAAAATGAATGTTGGACCTCACTCACTCATGGCTTGTAAACTTTTAAAAAAAATACAACAGTCTTGAAGTAGATTAGGGTTAAAAAGACATCTCTTTTGTTTATGAGAATTTAAGTATTTTGATGTATGTGTGCTACTCAGCGACATCAATGTCAAGCTATACAGTGTACATTCCCCCATGGTGTTTGCTTGACTACTGCCATTAAGCCACATAAAGGCAGCGTTTACGGAGAGACAGCAAATACAAGTCAAATGATGTCAGCAGCTCCCCAGTTTTTGGAGTAGCTACGAAACTGATATCATAACACTGAAACTTTTGTGTGCTGCAGACAAAGGAATGATGACACGGCATAAAGTGGATGTTCCAGTTAAAACAGTTTCAACACCATTCTGTTAAAACTGTTTCTTCACCATTGAGTATAACATGACACCTATTTGCATCTGAACTTTGAGATGAACAATCTGGTTTAGGTTTTCACTTGTGGGTAGTACACACACGCAACGACAAACAATAGCTCGCAGACAAGCTTCAATGCCTTGGAGGGCTCACGTTAAGTGTTATTTAAGTGCTGAGAAAAGATATATGGATGCTACACGTTTTCCTTCCACTTTTTATGTTAAATATTTCTAATGCTTCCAAAGTATGCATTATTCCTGGATGGGTATAAATAGTGTTATTGACTGTTACATTATGCAAATATTAGCATTATATCCAATTTTAACATTTTCAGAACTATTCTCATAATATTATACTCAAAAGAAGTTAAAGAATACCCATTTCTTTCATATACTATAGTTAATCTGTCATAGAATGACAGATTAACTATGGTAATATGAAAGAATGGGGTGTTCTTTAAGTATTATTTGCTGCATCATACTTCATCATGTTTTTCGCTTTACATGAACAGCTATGAGTAACATTGATATGTTTGTAGCGAGACTGATCAGTGACTGCTGGAGTAGGTCCTCCATAGGGGTCCAGTTATTATAACCTCAGGGCCCCAGCAATTTGTTCTCCCCACACAGACCTATATCCTTCATTTAGTGCTGTGTTAATATGATAATGGGTGCTTGTAACAGGAACTGGCACTTACAGTATCACCTGTCTCCCCATCTCCACACAGTGTAATGTCCATCAGTGGATTCCACAAACACTGGGCATTAGTCGGCTGATAACACTTGCAGTGTTTAGTTATCATTTTTATCACACACCAGCTTTTAAGTTCTGTTAACCAGGGCTATATTGTCTTCCTACTATAGCCTGCCCCTTTATGTGCAAATATCCTTATCACCATGGCTAGGTCTTGATTCAGTGTGTACTGTAGCTGGCTATTCACAACAGTTAATTGTAGTGCTAGGTAATGGCTGGAATGTTATCATTGATCATTAGTTGTTATGGGATTATTTCATCTAATTAGGATAAATTGTTATTGATTATGAAAATATTTTGCATATTTTTCCTATCTTCTCAGGCAATATTTCAGCTTGAAAAACTTACACAAGAACAGGACCATATCCTACCATCTCATACGGTATTCATTTAATGTTATATGTCTTTGAAGTTTGGAGTCATCATCATGCAGGTTTAATAATGACACTAATTTTTCTTTGGATTATTATGCACCGTTTCACATTGCAAATTTGCCATCTTACTCTCTTGCCTGTACCATAACCTGCACGCAATCAATTATCAGTAATAAATAAACAATTATGGACTTTTTTAAATGCATCATCATCATCATCATCATCACCGCCACCGCCACCACCACCACTTACTTTGCCAACTTTCTGTTCAAGAATGCTATTTCCAAGTGGATGGTAGTAATAAGGATTAATACACCAAGGCAGGTGTGAAACTTTGTTATACATCACTTACCAGGCTCCGCTAGAGTGATGCTATTCTCTATTGTTATTCATAGGTAGGTAGTGATACAGGACTTGTAAAGCAAGGAGTACTAAATTGTTATACATCAGTTAGCCAGTGTGATCGGCTTTACTGAGAGGCTGTATTTGAGTAGATAACACTAATCCTTGGTTTTATGGCATCGGAAACTGAGATTTAGTGCCCAGCTTGAACAGGTATGTGTACACAGGGGAAATCTCTACATGTCATTTATGGATTGTAATAGTTACATTTTCAGTGTTGATCATATCAATGTTTTTTGCAGGTAGATATATACAGTTTGTGAATAAGGACATGTATTTTTGATTTATTAATCCTGTGACGTAAAATATATTGGTATTATTGTGCAGGAGTTATATGATACTTTCATATGCATAAATCATACAAACTAATAACAATATTAATAAGTTTCATGTAAAGAATTCTTATTTTAGTTAATTCATATCTGTATGTAAGTATAAATTATCCTTAATTTTGAAGTAAAATCTGAGTTAAGATAAATAAATAATATTTTAGAATTTGTTCATGTAAGTCTGATTTAGTTTATTACAATAACCCAGCAGGTACATATTATGAGTTGGTTAGTAATAACACAATCCAACATGCTGCACCAGTTGGATGTCAACAGCATAGTAACTTCTCAAACCATATGAGTTTATTGTGTCTCTCATTCCTCTCTGTCTTTCCAGGTAGGCTGTGTCACCTGTGTCATACGTCGCCAGGCTTATCTGTCTCTCTCGACCAGTCGGGCTGCCTAGCCACAGCGTTCAGGATTAGCGGACTGCGGCCACTACCGTGACTAAACAGTTACACGTGGATGTAACAGTGAGTGGCGGCCGCTGAGCAAGTAGTGGACTTGGATGTAGGGGCTGATGTGGAGGATCCACGCTGCTTGTGAAGGTGAGCCAAGTAACGACTCTGTATCCAGACTCACTCCATGTTCACTGAGTGGAGAGGGCAGGACTTTATAACTTCCAATCTTCTGGCTAATCTGTGGGTGAATATTTGCAGTCCTCTTATGCAGTTTGATTTGTGAATTTGTGAATTGTGAAAAATAAGTATTTTTGGAGTCTAATTGTTTTTTTTCACCTTTATTAGTAAGAAGGTGGAGTAACTAAGTGGGTAGAGAGTCATCCGGGTGGGACTATGTGTGGACCTTACACCAGCACTTCAAGTACATATCACTCCCCATGGGGAAAAGAGTGGTTATTAATCTGATAACAGTGTAGGACACTGCAGGGCAGGTTTGAATGTTGGTGTGAGTTGGAATTCCACAAGCAGTGGAACTATAAGTGTGTGGAAACAATGTTCGACATTATACACAGATCATGGTAGTCTTCAGCATGATTAATTGCAGGTATGGTCAGACTCAGCGTGTGTACTGCCCTCCCTCATCTGAGTATTATGCTAAGGACCAACATAGTCAGCTTTGGGCAAAGGTGTGGTCCAATGTTTAGTAGTGTATGTTAGTGTTTGAAATTCTGCATAAACTTTATTCTATCCTTGCTAATGTCTAATGTGAAATTCGGAACTTAAGAGGGTCCCTAGATTCAAATACCTGCAGCAAACCACACAGACTCCCTTAACTACCATCACTGTGGTATTATGATACAGTTTGTAAAGTGCCTGTGAAATTCTTTCTTTTTGTCTGTGAATGCAGCTGGCAGTCTAAGCTGGTTATATGCCTATCTGGATTTACAGGGAACAGCAACAACAAGTTGACATAATACATTAAGTTTGAATGAGATGTTTTTCTTCCGGTTCAGATCTCAAAGAATGCGTTCATGCTTTACAAGCCTCCAGTCTACCTACACATTTATCATAGGAATTATGTGTAATGAGTTGTACTAGTTATTATGAACCTTGCTGTCAGAACACTGTTGTAGGCCCCCCTGGTCTTATGGGTAATGAACGAAACAAGTCACTGCAGGGGGATACACTTAGCCTGCTGAGCTTTACCCCTGTGTTGGGACTCGTGATCAAATACGTGGGGAGCCAGGGAATGTGGGTTTGAGTCTTAGCCTGGGTGTGGCTGGTCGTAATGGTTGCTGATTTGTACTTGGGCTGTAATGGATGATCATTTGTGAGGATTTGCACAATACTCTCAAAAAGTTAAACACCACCTGATTCTTTCATATTGCTATGGAAATACTATAGTGATATGAAAGAATCGGGTGCTCCTTAACTTTATTTTAGTAGCATTTTATTGATCAGGGATAGATATGCATATTTTTTCAGGTGCACCAGTGCACACATAAAGATGTTTCAGTGTGCACTTTGATCCATCTGCAGACTCCATGAATATCATTTCACTAAGGCGAGATAACAAGCAGTCACAATTTAGAAAGACTTGATCCTTTCTCTTCACTGAGATTGATGATAGCCAACTTTACACTGTGCATCATACTGAGCATGTTCACATCTTCATAAGTTCCCATGTGTTTGTCATGGTTCCTTCTGCGAAAGTACATTTATCCCTGGCTTCATTTAACAACCATTGTCGCATGGTACTGTTGTTAACAAAACATTATTTATGAGTGTGCTCTTTAAACACTGGGAGCCTATTTTAACAGTGTCATTGTCATTGAAATACATGTACTAGGGATTTCGAACTCTGTTCATATACAATTATCCCTGACTTATATTACCTATCACACACAATCTCCTTTAAATAAGATATTAGTTCTCACTACCGCTAAACAAAGATCTGAGGACATCTGATTACGGGTCACGTCAGACTGACCGTTCAGGAACGTTGACCGACCAATGGAATGATGACAAGAAGTTGACATTGGCCAAGCAGAAGGCAGCTTTCTCCTGCTTTATGGCACTAGTTTCAAACTGGCGACTATGCTTCGAAACATATTTTGACAAATTCTCGATTAAAATTTAAAAAAAAACATGAACAAAAGAACATTCTGGAATGGTTAATAGATGGTCTACATTGTATGGATTCAGTCGTAAAGCCTGTATTTGTCATTTGGAATACCCCATGTTAAATATCACACAAAGCTGTCATTCCTGTCACTGTTATCTTAACAATTGTTGTAACTTGATTTCAACTTTAATCAAATTGTTTCCAGTCTCTTTTTCCCACATTTTCGGTCATTAAGAACTCTCATGTTTAGAAAACAGCTCAGCTTCATGGCCAAGGGGTACATTTTTAGTTTAGCTACAAATTACATTAATGTGTTTTGCGTTTTTATGACCCCATAAAACACTCAAAGTAACTCAATAGAAGAGCTGTTTGTGTTTAATGTTTCACTCAATTAGGATGGTGCTTTGTTACACCGGCTTATAACGAAACATTATTCACTTCCCCCACAGGAGAGTTATTATAATTTCAAAATTGCATGTTTCAATGTCAGGATTTTTGTCTCCCCACTGATACCATTAACTTTCTTGTGGCTGTAGTAGAAAGATGATTCACCTTATTAACAAGTCAAATAATGTCTCCCACTAGCAATGCGGTTATTTGGTCACGGGAGCGACATTTTGATGTACGGGCGGCCGTTTCATAAAAAGTAGCTGTTGAATAGAATATGAGACTATCCTGTTAGACCTCATTGTGATAATAATTTTTAGCCATTGCTCCATCTCTGTTACTCGTCCTATGACATTCTTGTACTCATCTGGTTTCTGGCTGGAGAAAGTGAATTAAATGTTGGAAATGATAAAAACTTAAAATTATTTAAATTTTTCATTTTATATTCAGATTACGTATCTGAAAGTAGTTGTCTTGCTGTTTGTTTTGATGAGTGGACGAGTGAAACGGGGTTTGTGTTTCACATAGAGTATGTGAAGTACTTAATGAATAACAATGACAAGATCCACCCTGTAAGCTACACTGTTTGATTAGAGGGGCCTTCAGAAAAGTGTTATCATAAATGAATTATAATGTAAAATAATAATGAATATGAATTATATAATAACATCCCAAATTAAATAAAGTATAAGAATGGTCAAAAGAACATTGACTTCCAACTCTATCCCAGGATTTGCCACAGGTTTATAGTGTTGGAGACTACAAGTCACTGAGCCTGACCACCAGATCCGTTCTGTCACTCAATACGTCATATATGTTGCCGAGGACCACTTCTATCCCAGGATTTGCCACAGGTATATAGTGTTGGAGACTACAAGTCACTGAGCCTGACCACCAGATCCGTTCTGTCACTCAATACGTCATATATGTTGCCGAGGACCACTTCTATCCCAGGATTTGCCACAGGTATATAGTGTTGGAGACTACAAGTCACTGAGCCTGACCACCAGATCCGTTCTGTCACTCAATACGTCATATATGTTGCCGAGGACCACTTCTATCCCAGGATTCCCACAGGTATATAGTGTTGGAGACTACAAGTTACTGTAATACAGCTGGGATGTTGCAGACTGTAGACAAGTGACATGACTACAGGTTTCTGTGATATATATGATAATGTTGCTGACCACTATACAGATGTGATATTGATGACTTTAGACTAGTGACTAGCCTTGCTCCAAGTCTGTACTGAATGATAAGTCCATGGATGTATAGTAATTCTATCCTTGTCTAGATGAACAGACAGAAGGAATGCCAGCTTTTTTGGGGGGACAACTTGTTCTTATTATTTCTAGAATCTAGGAATTATGGTTTAAACTAACAATCATTGCCTTAGAGACTTGTGCAAGTGTAACCAATGAACATATAGCTTAAATGTTGCCTAACCAGCACAAAATCCAGATCATTCCCTGAAAATTTGATAGCACTGGGATTTGCTAGTTGACGGATTTAGCCAGAAGTTGAGTCTAGGAAGTGCTGAGATTACACAGGCATTAAATAGCACTGTTTTCTTCTGTCAGGGGCTTGTCAAATCCTCACAATAAAGCAAGAAGATGCTTTCTTTCCTACACCATCTTCCAATGTAAGACCATGTCATTCAAAGAATGTTTATATCTGCCACCATGAATAATCGTAGAATATGTGTTTATGTTAATTTTCAGCTTAACCTGTTAACAATTACGGGCAGCTAGATGGATGGTGTAAATCCTGTTGGGGCACTATGCAGGTAGCAGAGGTACTGTAAGTCCCCATGGTCCCTAGTATGGTGATTCATCGCCTGTTTTTATGTTCTAATATCAAATAATAGTCATAGCCTTTCAATGCTCCTTTACTAGTTTTAAAACAAACTATGTTAGTATATGCATATACTAGTTGTTGTACTATCCATCGTTGACAGATTTTAATATACTATTATAGTAAATTAATGTATAACTTATTCTAGTTTATACAATATTGCTGAAATACTGCTCACTCACCCACTCACTCACTCACTCACTCACTCACTCACTCACTCACCCACCCACCCACCCTCACTCACTCACTCACTCACTCACTCACTCACTCACTCACTCACTCACTCACTCACTCACTCACTCACTCACTCACTCACTCACTCACTCACTCACTCACTCACTCACCCACCCACTCACCCACCGACCGACCGACCCACTCACTCACTCACTCACTCACTCACTCACTCACCCTATGTCCAACACACCTGGGAGTGATGCACAGGGCTGACACAGGACGTACACATTCTAAATTGGACTTCAGGCTAAGCTGTAGAAACAGTCTGGAGTGTTTGAAAATCTTTATGTGGATGTAAGTGATTGAAGTTGGTCACCTCAGGCATTTTGGTAAAAACATGATGCTTTGAAGTAGTGTTTGGAAGAATTTAGGCTGAGAATGGGGGAGATTGAGAGACTGAGCATGGGGGAGATTGAGAGACTGAGCATGGGGGAGATTGAGAGACTGAGCATTGGGGACATTGAGAGGCAGAGCATGGGGGAGATTGAGAGGCAGAGCATGGGGGAGATTGAGAAACAGAGCCTGGGGGAGATTGAGAAACAGAGCA